ACCTAGTGTTTTTATATCATATAGAACACATTTAGGGTTGTGGAGCAGATTTTTTTCAAAAAATGATGGTTTTTGGACTACCCTAATAGCTTTATTTAATGCCATCCTTTTACTTAATATAACATTTCTTCAAAAGCTTAGTTACTGGCGAGGACCAAAACATGTTCAGAATACTAGCAAATTAAAGCGCAGATTTCAGTCAACTAAATAAAGAAAACTTTCTCATCTTGACAAATTTTTTCCAACACTTATGCAACTTTTTCTTGGTATTCTTAATGAAGACATTGTAGAACGATTTGGAATTTCTCCTACAACTTCTTCTAACATATTTACCACATGGATCAAACTTATAAGCAGTGTGTTAGGTAAAAAATATATATATAGTGCTCTTATTGTACGGCTTCCACGTGAAACTATCGGGGGTAATTTATCTAGGGTTTTTAAAAATGCAGGATATATGTGTGATTATTGATTGTGCTAAAGTTTTTATTGAACAACCCAAGTCTCTCTTAGCACAGGCCTCAACTTGGTCTGATTATAAACAACACAATACATTTAAGTTTCTTGTTGTAATTTCTTTTTTATCTGATTGTTATGGTGGAAGATGTTCAGATAATTTTGAAACAAAAGATATTGGTTTTTATGACTTGTTAGAGCATGACGATGAAGTCATGGCAGATCATGGATTTCAAATCCAGGAAGAACTTTTGTTAAGATTTTGTACTTTGATAGTTCCTCCAGGTGCTCGTCTTAAAAGTCAAATGATTGCATCTGAATGTAAAAAAACTAAAAAAATAGCAAACTTGAGAATACACATTGAACGATTCATTAATAGATTGAAAACTTATAGAATTTTAAAGAATGTTTTTCCTCTAACAATGTTGCATCATGTTGATGATATTGTGAGGGCTTTTGCTGCACTCTGTAACTTAAAACTGTGTTGTGTCAATAATTCAAGAGATGGAAATAAGACCTTAAAGTCGTTAAATAATAGTATTCAAGGAATAATGTGTTAGGTGGATTAATGGTAAGTGTTCCATCTACAAAATCCATCATACACAATCACTGTTGCATGAATTCCATTTTTATTATTTTTACCTTCCCTTTTTAATAAATCTTTTCACTTTTCTCTTTCTCAAGAATTTTTTTTATAAGAATTTGGAAAACAGTATGAATAGAAGATTACACAGTAAACAGATTGAATAGAAGATTACAACTACATTGATCTTTTTTCAAACCTTCATGAACATTACATTCTTGTAATTGTATGTGTTTCAAAAAAAAAAGGCTAATAAGTTTGGTATGCATTTTTTGCCCCCAGTAAGTCGAGGGTAAGGAATCCCTCCCTTTTCCTCTGCCTTTTCAGAGCAGGCTTAATACTTTTAGTAAAGGATTTTGTTTAGTTGCTAAAATCTTAAATTTTGTTTATTTTTATTAGACAACCACTGTTTTAGTTGATAATTTAAAATGTTTATAAGTTAGTTAAAAGGTCATGACTTCCTAGATGTCCATTTTAGAAGTGTTTAGAACAACCATGTTTAGGGGTCATCCATATATTACATACGTAGCAAGGGTGTAGGTTTTAAGTTGTGTAATTTGCGTATGTTGGGATGGATGGGTGATGTTCAAAAAATGTATGTATGAAAAAAACACTTCTAATTAATTTAAAAAAAGTATTTATAAAATGTTTTTTTATTTTATTTATATAACGATGTATTTTTTATGAGAAATATTTAACTTTTGAACATATTAAACAAATAAAAAATATATAAAAATGTTGAAACAAAGATTGAAAAGGTTTTTTAATGCGTAAATTAAATAGATTAAGCATTTTAGTTTGATGAGTTTTGTTTTAGTTGTGTTATATATATATATATATATATATATATATATATATATATATATATATATATATATATATATATATATATATATTTATTTATTTATTTTTTTGTGTTTTTGCTTTAACTAAGTATTTTTTTTTTATTTTCTCTTTCGTTACTATTTATTATTTTTTTAAATTTTTTTTTCAGATAAGTTTAGGTAAGTTTTTGTAGCGCTTTTTTAAATTTTAAAAATATGCCGTGGTCAAATTGTTAAAACATTTTTTTGCGTGGTCATATAACAACATGAAATCACACGTCTTCCTGTGAAAGCCTGCAGTTCATGTTCATTTGCAAATTAGTCAAAGGTGATCGTTGCCCACATTTTTTTATTTTTTAAGTTGATTAAGGTGCTCCAAGAAGTCCTTACGGTGCACCGAGGAAGTGCATTTAATGGGAAGTTCACGCCTCCTTCCCAACCGATGTCGCAAAACTTGCCCAGAGGTGGGGTTTGAACCATGGATCTTACGTTTCTGAGGCAAGTGCGCTACCACTGCGCCACGGCTGCTTTGGCATTCATGGCATGCTAAGGTTATAAAAGTTAAATAGCGCAAAAAAATAGTGATCACGTTTGCAAGCGTGAATAAAAAAATCAGCACAAAATTAATTTTAAATAAGTTATTATTAATGTCAACTTATTTCTAGAAATTAAACTTACTAATGCTTCAAGTTTTAATAAGATTAAAACCATGGGGAGCATTGGAAGGGGGGTGTATGAAAATGTCATTATGTTAAATAAAGACTTTTTACAAAAGACTGCGATGTTGAAACAAAAAAGACCTAAAACATTGGCTTCCCTGGCCTAAACATAAGAGCAACAAGTTGCACTTCCCTAGCCCCTTTCTGATACAGCACTAATAATTATAGGTAACGAACTTAGAAATAATTTACTTTGCGTTAAATTATTCTTACAAGTCAATAGGGAAATATTTTTTTATTATGTCATAATTCCCACTTTAAACTTTAACCATAGAGGCCCATATCTTTAAATATTGTAGTGTGAATGTGTGTGTGTGTGTGGGGGGGGGGGGGGTTGACATTTTTGAAAAAAAGAGCACTTTATAGTAGCAAATAAATATATTGCTTGATTTTTATAACAAAATTAATGCGATACAGAGGACAAGTGTTAGAAGGAGAGGGTAATTGCTACAAAAAGTATCAACCTCCCCTCACATTTGATCTCAAAATGCCGGGATTTATATTGAACAATCCCGGGATTTCGGGAATATAAAAAAGTAACAGCCATATAATTTTGACACAGTGGCGGATACAGGTAATAGTCCTAGGGGGGGTAGTTCGATCAAAAAAAGAAAAAAGGTCAACAATTTTTTCGATAAAACCACTGTTTCATTTGATCCTTTAGAATGTTTTTAAGTTAGTTTACTAATTATATATCTGGAATGTGTATATTAATAAAAAAAAATTTAAAATATATGTGTATATAAATAAAACTTTTGCGAAAAAATCTGCAACTTAACTTTTTGTATTTTTCAATAATTTCTTTAATTTTATTATTAAAATTTTGAAGTTTAGGGCCATCCATAAAAGATATCACCATTTTTTAGCCAATTTTTGACCCCCTCCTCCCTCTTTGTCACTGGTTGTCCTTTTTCCCTATACCCTCTTTGAAAAGGACGTCATAAAATCCCGACCCCCCCCTATCTTAAACTTCAATTATTTCATCTCGCAATGATGTTTGAATCTGCTGCTACACCTTTGAAAAATAAAATTAAAAATATTCTCAATATCTTCTTAAAAACAAATATTTACATAGTTTTTTATGTTAATGAAACTAAAATAAAAAAATCCTTCCCCCCCCCCCCTATTGGTTCAATATTTTTAGGCGTCATATGAAGTATTATATTTTTTTCAAATGATAATATATCTTTTGACATATATCATTAACACTCATTAGGTTTGATTGGTAAGTACTAATGTCATTTACTACTTTTAAACTAAAGTCAATATCTGGTTTAGGGATAGAATTAAAAATGATGGAATTAGGGGCTATTTCTTTTAAAGCTTTTGTAACATCCTGAAGATCAAGTTTACTAGAATATATAGAAATTGGATTAAATTTCTTATAAACTGTTTACAAATGGTCTTTTTTTTTTTACAATGTTGAGAAAAATTTTCTCTGCTAAATTCTAAATTTTTAATTTTAATAGGTAAAACTTCTTTTCAATCGGAAGCCATTGATTTGAAACCATTGTGCAAGTTGAATTTGTTAGGCCCATTCTTACAGCAGCTTCAATTTTAAACATTGCTGCAGCAACATGGTTACATATTTGGCTCATTCCTGCCATACCTGTACAGTGACAAGATCAGATTTATGCATTTTCATTTTCTATAACCAACCACAGTTTATGGCTTGTGTCATTAATACCCAACTCCCTCTTTGTTCCAGAAACACGCAAATTTCGAAGTCTTAAATGATGCTTCAACTTTCATTTTATTAATCTATTTTCATTTTATTAATCTAAATCCATTATGAGTTTATCTTAGGATAAATAATCTAAACAAAAGGAAAGTTTGCTTGAAATACTTTGTACATAAAAGTTTATTTTTATTTTACCCACACAATTTGGATCCAGACCTCAATATTTTGTCGCGCTTTTTCCAATCAGATGGGTGTATTGGAAATAAACCCATCCAATTGGAAAAAACGTATAAAAAATATATATATGGATGTAATTGTATATATATATATATATATATATATATATATATATATATATATATATATATATATATATATATATATATATATATATATATATATATATATATATATATATATATATATATATATATATATATATATATATATATATATATATATATATATATATATATATATATATATATATATATATATATATATGTTAAGAAATAATTTTGGTATAGATATGCATATTCGATAAATGGCTAGATATGTAAAAATCATATCAAGTACACATTTATCACTAACAATGAAAATTATGAACACATAAACATTTATAACAATTTTCAATGTTGAAAAAGATTTTAAAGATCACCTTAAATGTAAATTAATAATAAATCTTTATAAATAAATTTAAAAATTTATGAACACATGAACAATATATAAGTTCTTACCACTGGTGGGCCTGATAACAATTGTCATTTATGTGAAGAGCTCTTTCAGCAGTTTTAATACCTAAATATTTTTTATCTCAAGTTAACATCATATACATGTGAAAATACTATGAAACATGTTTTGTACAAATTAAATTACAATTAAATCTTTTTCATCAAAATCAAGGTCATCATAATATGATAACCATGATAATCATTATCATCATCATTATCATCATCATTCACCAAATCACAAAAAATTTTACACAAAATATATATATATATTTTTGATAAAAATGATGATAACTAACCTTCATCTATCAGACTCTTATGTTGTAAATGATCCCCACTTTTTTCTTTTTGGCAGGAAATGCGATACTGCGATTTAGCATAACGCCATAATAAATCAACATTGTCTGGTATCTTCAAACAATATAAAGTAAAATTGTATTAGTAAATATGCATAACATTAAAAACAAAGAACTCTTAACTCCAAATTAAATTACTTATGCATATAATTTTCATATTTAGTACCAGAACTATCAATAAAATTTGAAACTTAAAACAAGGCCTTTTTCAACCTCACTTCATGGTCATTCAACATCTTTATTAGGCCATTTAACGCTTTTTCAAATACACTAAGAGGTCTTTCAGCAACTTTTCAAACAAATGGTGACACTTCATGTTGAGATTAAAAACTTATATTTTGTCTAAGCTTGTTAGTGTATGTAATTTATTTCAACTTTTAAATACTAAAATATTTTTAGTAGTTTAGGCTTGTCATTGAAAGCTAAATCAAGATTGTTAGTGTTGTCAAAGTTCTAAGTAAAAATGGAACAAAATAATATTTTTAAAAACTAGTCATTCCATGCCAACTGGACCCAAGGTCCAACATTGACCCCCTCAGATTTTGATGAAACTTTGTGGGTTTGTTAATACCAATGAGAAAAGCAATTCCTGAAAATTTCAGCATAAAATCTTTTGTGGTTCATGAGATATGGCCATTTGAAATTTCTGATTTTTCCAAAAATAAAAACTTCAGTAGCAAAAACATGTTTTGTTCATACTTTGAAGCTCTATATTTAAACAAAAAAATTCATAAAACCTTCTAGTTTTTTTTTATTGTATACAACTCTAGACTTACTTTTATAAAATTTTGACATTAAATTCTTGAATGTCTTATTTTTTCCATAATGATATTTTTTAAAATAATTTTTCCTACCTAAAAAACTGAAAAAATTGTTTGCAAATATAAAAAGTTGAATTTTGATGAGTCAATATGCAAAACCTGCAGTTTAAAAAGCGAAAAGATTAATTTTTTTAGTTTCTATATATGGTAGGCTTCTAAATTTTTAGAAATTTACTGATAAAATACAATTCAGTAAAAAATTATAGACCTCTAAAAATGGCTGCAGCTAAAACTTAGAAAAATGTGGCTCCACTTCAAACCACTGGTAACCTTGGATCAATACTGGTTTTAATAAAAAAAAAATTCTATTTTAATAGACTTTATTGCAGTGATTTCAGAAAAAAAAATAGTGGGTAATCATGGAGAAGTTACAAAATCAAAACAATTGTTGTACTTTTGTTTGTATTATATATTGTAATACAAAGTATGTATGAATTTAAAAGTAATTCATAATCAGTACTCGAAATAAGTCTTTAATTAAGCCTGAATTAAACTCAATTTTTAAATATCCATAGCTCTTTCCTGCACCCTCCCCTTCCCCTGTCCATTTACTTTTTAACATTCACATTTTTTCCCAGAACTTAGAAAAAAAATTGTGATTGAACACTTCATCTTACATGGTATGCCTGGTTTTGTCTCATGTAATAAGTGCCTTTATGCTTTTATTTTAATGTTTTCATATAAAACTAGATAGTAGCCTATTAGGTAAAGTTGAGATGAAAGACTTTTAATCTAATTTACATATTATTTAATATCATGACTATAAATTTTATAATATTTTTTCAATGCATTCACAACTCCACCTTTCCTCGTTAATTTGACTTATTTGATTATCATTTTCAAATTTAGATTACAACTTATACCAAGTTATAAAAGTTATTTGATTGTCAACATAATGTACAAGTTGATTATGTAGTTAAGAATATTAATATGTAATAAACAATGTAAACATTGAATCTTTTAAATGATTTTTGCTAAAAAAATAACAAATAATTCAAATTTATAATAATTTTGCTACGCTGTTATTTAGCTATTACTTATGCTATTGTATGATGAAATAATTCAGTTTTTTCTTGAGCTGAAATGATTGATAAATGAAATAAAGATAATAATATAAAATATAGATAGATGAAATAATTCAGTTTTTCTTGAGCTGATAGTTTATACCATTTACCAGTTGTTGATTGAACTTTTAAAGATGAAATTTTGCATAAAACCTGCGTTATTGGAACGCAACAAATATCTTCTTTATGTGGCCAAGTAAAAGTGTTTAAGAAAATAGATTGCTTCATCAACTTGATAAAAACATCTTGATTTTCTTTAGATACTTCCACAATATTGCTTAAAAATTATTTTGCATCATTAACACATGGTATATTAATTCTTGGCGAAAGAGAATCAAGTGGAACTATATGCTGCTATATATTTTAGGTACATTTATATTAGTATACATATTGTCAAATGACACCCGTCTCATCTATAAAGTAGATAATGATTGTAGTATAAAACAATTATGGTTTTTGTTCCTGAAATTGTTGAACAAGTAGCATAATGTTCTTCTAATTTAAACTTTATGCAATGCAATACAATTGCATCATTTGAAATGTATTGAAAATATATTCCTTTGATATTTTGTCTATACCAATCATACATTTGATTTGGTGAATTGATAGGATCTGTTAGTGATTGTAAACTGGCCTCAGCTACAAGTCTTTTGACACAGCCCCCAACACCATGGCAAGCACTCTTTCTATGTGATGTTGCAAAAAAATGCCAATCTGCAGATACTTTATGATCTAGTTCATGGTGATATAAGTTAGATATATTTTTATAATTGCTTGTTTTGTGAACCTGCACCATCACTAGGCAACAACTCTTTTGTTTTATTACTTCATAAAAGAAACAATGAACTGAGTTTGTATTGTGTTGCAAATGATCTGATATGATGCAAATACTCTTACATTTTATGTAAAATATGATTACTTGGTAATTTTTAGATGCTGCTTAATTTTTGGCTATAAAATGGTGGTCTCTTAATTGGCTTATTTGTTGAGAAGCTTTTTCGATAAAATCATGCATAGGAAGAGTTACTGAAACTCTATCATGTTTTTTGTTGGCTTTTTGCCACTGAATAAAGGTGATATCTTCCATGCTGTGTCTATAAAACAAAGCAGTAAGTAGTCTTTTAGTGTGTTGGTATCTGGGCAGTTATTTCAACTGTGCAGCATGCAGTCTCGATTTGTTAAGTCACATACAACTAATGTCTGAAATATATGGTACTTGCAATGCTAAAAGTTTTGCATTTTGATGGTACTCATAGTTAAATAGTTATAACTTGGTATAAGTTGTAAACAAAATTTGAAAACAATAATCAAATAAGTCAAATTAATGAGGAATAGTGGAATCGTGAATGTATAGAAAAAATATTATAAAATTTATAGTCATGATATTAAATATTACGTAAATTAGATTAAAAGTCTTTCATTTCAGTTTTACGTAATAATCACTAATAAGTTTTATATGAAAATATTAAAATAAAAGCATAAAGGCACTTCATACATCAGACAAAATCAGACACACCATGCTTACATGGTGTGTCTGATTTTGTCTGATGACAAGAAAGATCTCAAGAAAGGAGAGGTGTTCAATTACAATTTTTTTCTAAGTTCTGGGAAAAAATGTAAATGTTAAAAAGTAAATGGACAGAGGAGGGGGAGGGGGCAGGAAAGAGCTATGGATATTTATTTGTATTATTTTTCCAAACATCGCAAAAAAATTTTTGTAAAAAGTAAAAACAATAAATTATTTTTATTTTATAGGAGCAACTTATTTTTTACAGATATCTTAATAATTTTTAGATTTATATATCTTACTTATATTTCTTTAATTATTTAAATTAGAACAAATATTAAAGCTTTACTTACCAATCTTATAATTTTCATACGAGTATCTTACATTACATCAGGGCTGTGGAGTCGGAGTCGCGGAGTTGCGACAATTTTACCGGAGTTGGAGTCAGAGTCGCTAAAAAATATTGCGACTCCGATAGTAAAATTTCTTGGTATTGCACATGCATGTACAAAACATTCAATTAACCTTATGTTCATACTAAACATCAAAGAATGTTTCATAAATTTGTCCAAAAAAAAAATTTCAACTTACCAGGCAATATTTTTTAAAGAATTCAAAGAATTTTTCAAAAATTTTGCTTTGGAGTTGGAGTCGGAGTTGGAGTCGGAGTTGAACTCAAAAAATTTCAACAACTGGAGTCAGACTCGGAGTTGTTACTTTTTTTTTACGACTCCACACCCCTGCATTATATAGAACGTTTTATATACGGTCTCTTTTTTTTGCGAACAAGAGCACAGTATTATATATTCTGATTCTTACTTAATTTTATTTAAACAATGGGAACTATTTTCTAACGTCTCTGGTTATTTTTACGCTATGACAATTTTTTGTTTTTCCGTTGAAAAAAAGTATTTATTAACAATTACTTCCATTAACTGACAGTATTAATTAGAGATATTTGATGAATTGTTAACTTTTTTTATTATAAAAATTTTTTAATTATGCTGATTTAATTTAAATTAATTTAAATTTGCTGAATTGGATACGGATAAAAAGGAAATATCATTTTATTTTACATTTGATTTTTGATAATGAAATTTTTAAAATGTCAGCAACTCCATACCAATTGGAACCTGTTAAGGTTATGAAAAAAAAGTACAAGAATACACTAAGCAATACAGTTGACAGTAGTATCAGATATGAAAATTCGTGAAAGGATATGTGAGATCCTGATTTTGCATTAAAAGTACAATTAATAGCAAAACAAGTCGGCATTATAAATTTTGATTATAAGTTTGACTTTAAGTTCTGTTCAATATTTTATAACCATCAAATAAAAAACATGAAGTTTGTATATTTTTGCCCGTTTTATGCAACTAATATTTAACAAAGATACGGACAAATTATTATTAAATAACCCAATAATTAACACATTAATTAATGGCAATAATTCAAGATAGATGGTAATTTAAATTGTTAAAATGTCATAACGCACATTAAAAAACATATTATATTTGGTATTTCCAAATTTGTGTCGTAATTGGCATTTGTCTCTTAACATGAAAAATTAAAAATTTTTAAAAACACAATTAACAAACACAAATTTTCAAGCAATTTTCTCTTTCAATTCTCATTTATTCAAAGAAAAGTTACTATTAAATTTTTATTTCTCTCATCTAAAAAAAGAACGAGTGACGCAAAAAATATCTATATATTCTAAACAACTCTTATTCATTCAAAGTTTAACTACACAAAAATTTTCTTTCTCTTTCGTTCTACTCTTTTATAAAAAGAGCGCGTGATGAAATAAAAACTTTTCTTTTTTAACATATAATTATAGTTTGAGATTAAATTAGAAATAAATCAACAATGAGCAAAGCAACGAACAGATTAATCTGGAGCTATTTTGATATTTATGAAAATAATCAACATAAACAACATTACCAACAACAATTATCAAATAAACAACACCATCTCGCATAATTTTAGGGGCATTTTATTTTTATTGCTTAGTCTAAATAATAAGTAAATTTAGTTCAAGTTAATAATTCGATATTTACAGTTGCAATATAATAAAGAAATGGTGTTTAATGTTGAACTTTTTATTTAGTTATTTATTTTTTACCTACATTTAAAAAACTTTAGAACCCCCGTCATTAAAATAATTTGTTTTAAATATATTTCAACGTGATTATTCAAACTAATTTTTTTTGTTTGACTTTCCAAACTTCATGAAAAGCAAATTGAAACGAAATATCGTCTAACCAAATAAAAAAGCTGTTACTACTTTTATATGGGTAATTAATGCAAAACAATTTTTTATCAGAGTCTTGATTGAGATAATAAATATTCATAATTTATAAACATTAAATATATAGCGCAATAACAATTTATAGCAACGAACCAGCATAAAATATTTGAGGTTTTTAATTTTTTTAAATGTTAAAAATAGAAAAAAAAAACTAAACAAATCAAAAAAATTTCTAAACAAATCTACTAAACTAAACAAATCAAAAAAATTTTGAATAAAAATAAATAAAAATATTTCTTGTTAAAAGTCTACTGTGACATCAAATACTTTTATGAATTAAACGCGCTCCAAAGGAATTGCCAAAGTCTGTAGATTGCGATGTATAATTTGAAGACTCCGAGTTATTAAAAAAAATGGAGAAGGCGAGCTTCGGCTAAAACAACAACATTAGTTTTTCTTGGTATACATTCATTATTTATTTTTAATCAAAAAAACTTGATTCAAACCTTTTTTTTTAACATTATCTTTAATATGAACACAACATGTGTTGGAAGTTTGGGATCCTTTTAAACTGCTCCAGAACATCAATTTTTCGAGTAAGAAAACTTTTTCATGAAACAGGAGATATCAAACCACATTTTAATAAGCCAAAACCTGTGAAACAATCACCTCAGCTTTTAAGGTCTGTCAAAAGAAAAGTCAAGCGAAATCCATTGCGCTCCATCCGCCAGTTGGCAAGGTAAGCCAATGTTGCCAACTCCACAATGCAAAAAGTTATGAAAGATTTGAACCTTAAATCCAGAGTTGTTGTGACTAAGCATCTTATCACTAATAAACAGAAAGAAAGTAGGAAAGAGCGATGCAAAAAATTGTTAAACTGGCAAAAATCTACCCTGGGCATGTGACAATCTTCTCTGATGAAAAACTTTTCACTGTGGATAAAGTTACTAATTGTCGTAACACAAGGTACCTTAGTACTGTTAAAACAGTAAAGGAAGTAAAGGAAATCCCTGAGAATATCAGGTATTCATTTTCATCAAAAAAACTAGCTTCTGTGATGATATTTGGCATGTCTTTTTTTACAAAAACCAGTTTTTGTAAGAAAAGGTCAAAAAATTGACAGTGATGAGTATATCCACCTCCTGCAAGAGAAGGTCATTCCCTGGTTAAACAGAAACTATCCAGATGGTCAGTATGTGTTTCAGCAGGATGGAGCACCAACTCATACTTCAAAAAAGACACAAAATTTTCTCAGTGAAAACAAAATTTTCTCAGTGAGTCAGTACTGGGACAAATTAAAGTGGCCCCTATCTAGCCCAGATTTAAACCCATTAGACTTTTTTATGTGGACGGCTGTGGAGGAGGCTTGCAAGATTCCCCATGGAAATACCGAGTCACTAAAAAAATCTATATGCAAAGCATGGGCCAAAGTTCCAGAAGATGTCAAGAATGCATGCAGATCCTTCCAGCGGCGTATTCAACTTGTGTATAATGCCAATGGTGGCCACATTGAATAATTTTAAACCTTAGTCATAAATAAACATCTAGTCAAAATCTTGTCAGTTATAAATTGAAATAAATTTTTTGTGTATTTTCAAATTTTTTCATTTTTTGTGTTACGCTGTTGCTTGGTCACCCGGTATAAAATACAAACTAAAGTACAACAATTGTTTTGATTTTGTAACTTCCCCATGATTACCCACTATTTTTTTTTTTTCTGAAATCACTGCAATAAAGTCTATTAAAATAGATTTTTTTTTTTTTATTAAAACCAGTATTGATTCTAGGTTAACAGTGGTTTGAAGTGGAGCCACGTTTTTTTAAGTTTTAGCTGCAGCCATTTTTAGAGGTCTATAATTTTTTACTGAATTGTATTCTAAAAATTTAGAAGCCTACCATATATAGAAACTAAAAAAATATATCTTTTCGCTTTTTAAACTGCAGGTTTTGCATATTGACTCATCAAAATTCAACTTTTTATATTTGCAAACAATTTTTTCAGTTTTTTAGGTAGGAAAAATTATTTTAAAAAATATCATTATGGAAAAAATAAGACATTCAAGAATTTAATGTCAAAATTTTATAAAAGTAAGTCTAGAGTTGTATACAATAAAAAAAAACTAGAAGGTTTTATGAATTTTTTTGTTTAAATATAGAGCTTCAAAGTATGAACAAAACATGTTTTTGCTACTGAAGTTTTTATTTTTGGAAAAATCAGAAATTTCAAATGGCCATATCTCATGAACCACAAAAGATTTTATGCTGAAATTTTCAGGAATTGCTTTTCTCATTGGTATTAACAAACCCACAAAGTTTCATCAAAATCTGAGGGGTCCATGTTGAAATCCTAAAATTTTGGTACATTTGGCATGGAATGACCCAAACATAATAATAATAATAATAATAATAATAACAATAATAATAATAATAATAATAATAATAATAATAATAGCAATAATAATAATAATAATAATAAAATTTGAAAACATTTATGAAATTGATTAGAGGTTAAGATCAAACAAAATACAACAAAAAGTGGAAAAATAGCTATTATTAACTTCCAGCTATTAGATTTTTGTAAATCAAATAACTCTTTATATTACATTAGAATAATCTGTTTATTTTAAATTTAGTTTATTTTAGTAAACTTAGTAACTAAAAAAAATAACAGCATAATGAAAACATGTTTTGACTGTAAAAAAAAAATTGAATATGAAATAAAAAATAAAAATTTTGACAACAATAACCTGTTTTGTTTTATTTAAAAGCAAGTTGTAAGCTTTAACTTGCTGCTCATCATCGCCATCAATTAAGCTGTCTACTTCTTTGACAAAAAATTGAAGATTTTCAGATCTAAAAGAATCAAAATTGTCAATGCACAAGTGCTTGTTCATACTTTGACTTTTCATACATTATTGACATATTATTTGAATTGACATTTTATCTTTACACTGACATTTAAATATAATGTATAATGTTCTAGTGGTAGAGACCTCCCTTTGTATGTAAGAAGTACCAAGATCAACCCCCACCATGTTTCACCATGTTCCAGGTAGTAATGTACTTCTTTTTCTATACAGCAACCTTTTTTATTAAAGATTGTTTTTTCAAGGGTTGACAGAAGGTTATAATAACAGTTTGAAAGAAAAAAAAAGTGAAGCTACTCAACTGTCAACTTCTTTAACAGGCCCGTTGACCGTAGAAAGGTTAATATAGCAAAAAAAAACACTACAACTGCATGTGGTACCAGAAGATCCTTTCATAGCATTTAAAGAATAGAAAAACAAGCAACTTATAAACATGCAGTCAAGGCTCACAATTAACTGATAAACCGGTTTATTTACGATATACAAAATGCACTTTTACATCTTTTCTAAGAAAATTAACATAAAAAATGATGAACTAACTCAGATATGACAAAACAGAAATGATGCCAAATATAAAAAAAAAGTAGTTAATACAAACAATTCTTAGTAGTGAGACAAATATAGCAGAAATTTATTTTTAAATAGACTTATTATAGTTTTCAATTGACTAGCAATTTCTATAAAAGATGCAATGTAAAAGATAGTCTAAAGCAACAACAAAAGAAAGTCAAGAGCTAAAAATACTTGAAATAACTTTGTAAACAAAAAATAATAAAACTTGTTTGAGTAAAAAATCAGCCACTATAACTAGAAGAATTTTTTCTAATCTTTTATTCTAAGGAATCTTTTTCTCTAAAGACAAGAACAAAATAAGATTTGGTTTAATAACTCAATCTATTTATTAAAAAATTAATTCTAATAAGAAATTGTAAAACACTTGTCTATTTATTGAACAATCAACTGTAAATCATTAAAAGTTGTTTGAAGACATTAATTTCTTAGAGTAAGAAATGTTTTAACTTTTATACTGTGAATGAAAAAACTTGTTAATTTATAAAAATAACCTTAATTATATCTACATGATTTTTAGAGTAAACCTGCATAAATTAAACCTGCATAGCTAAATTATGCTAAAGACAGCAAAAGTTTTAAAATAATTATAATCCATCTACACAACAAACATTGACATATGCTGCTTTAAAACACACCCAAAAATTATATAAGCAAATGATATACAGATGCAAGTGTATAAAAAAAGTTTTAAACAACATCAGCTACAAAAATAAGTGTAAAAGATTCCAGACCCAAGTGATAAATATGTTTGCAATGAATGGCAGGAGGTTAGTATTTAATGAGATTATACAATAAATAATAGAAAAGATTTTCAGTAACTTCCCAATGTATTGTGATGTAAATAATATCTGAGCCAAAAATGTTATTGTAGTATATTAATTTTCACCGTGCAAAAATATTTGGAAATTAATCATTAATTACACTATTAAAGATATTAGAAAAAAAGGATTTGTTTTCATGCTTAAGTCAATAAGTTTTTATTTTTGTCAAAAATTATATTTGTCTTTAACCAACAAACACCCCTAAGAATCATAACATAAAATTTTATTATGATTTTGCTAATTACATAACTTTTCATTAATTTACTATAATAAATTATAATCATTATCAAAGTGTTATCTTCATTAAAGTTTTGAGATCAACAGTGTTGTTATCAACAAAGGGTTATAAAACTCTATAAAACTACATCATTCAACCCCACTCCTCTATCAAATATATCTGAGCAATTCAACTTAATGCTTTAACGACCCAATGCTATGAAGTTATGTGAAAAGCAGCAACTATTGCTACTATTATAAGAAGTTTAAAATAATAATTTAAACCTTTTTTATAAATTCACCTTGGCATTTGCCAAGTTTTTCTTATAATTTATGTATGACCTTCGATAAAAAATAAAGTAATAGTTTTATGATATTTTATACTATCTTATTGTACTTTAGAATATATTTATACTAAATATGAATGTCTGATATTTTTACTCTAATTGGTTGTCTAAGGAAGACCACCAGGTGCAAATTCCATACCATTTAATCAAGCTTTTGAAAAAACAAAGGAGGAGAGCAGAAAATACACATTTTAAATTATATATTTTAAATTCATCTTATTTAAAAAAAAAAAAATCTCCAAAATATTATAGGTGACAAAACTTAATATCAATCTTCAAATTTAAATTTTTACACTTAAGGTTGTGAAGCAAATACTAAAAAAAGAGAAACATGGTTCAGTTAATTCAACAAAAATGTATACTGGAGAGGAAGAATTAGCTTAGTTCATGTACTGCAGGCTTAGTAAAGCTGATTACCAAAAAATTTACATTGGAGCATTTACATTCAGGTTTTCATGCTATATTTTTCTAAACAAAGTTCTTATATCCAAAGATATTGATGGCTTAGCACAGGAACAGCCACAAATAGTCATGAAGACTAATCCAAAGTAGCGCCCATTATTGACCAACATTTTTGCATACCAAAGTACTACTCAAACGCTGAGTTAGTCAAGGCAGGATTTGAACTTGTATCTAAAACAATCCAGGTTTTAACTTTTCGTTTGACACTCTAATCAACTGAGCTATCTAGCCACTGGCTGGATTTATTGAGTATTTCAAACAGTATGTTTAAAATACTTAATGAATCTGTTTAAAATATTGTTTAAAATACTCAATGAATCTGTAAAGGTTTTTGAAAAATTCATTCTTGTCTTTATGTAAAAAGTGAGATTTGATGTGTCAACTGGCCAATTGTTATACAAACAAAGTACAGAAGGCCAGATAAGGCCAGACATTTGGAATTTTGATGAGACCAATTGATGACGACATTTTTTCTTCCCAGAGACAGATGACGCTGGGAAGAAAAAATGTATACTGAAAAAAGAAGTAAAATACCAGGAAAGAATCATCAATTGTTCCAAATTAGCTATTTCACTTATGTACTGTGGTAATGCAGCTGGAGTGCATACTGCAATAACAGTATACAAGATCTTATTATACTTTAACATTATTTGTAGTATTAATTCATTTAAGTTATTTTGTTAACAACGGGTCTTTTTAAAATTGAATTTAAAATGTTTTTCTATGCGTAATTTTTTTGTGACATTCTCTACAATCATCATTACTAATACCTAAGTTTATGAACTAGCAACAACAATTTTTTTTTACATTAAAACAGGTATGAGAGAGAACCACAAACATTAAACTTGTCTTAAATTCAAGTTCAAGTAGCCCTAGATGACGATATATAGTATTTGTAGACTAAATGTTGCCGTTATAAAATTTCAACTATAATTTCAATTGAGCTTGGATTGAAAAAATTATATGCACATTAAGTTTTGTATATTTTTTACTAAAATTTCTGATAAATGACAAATAATTGTTTTTAATGATGTATAAATATAACTAGATGCGTGACTTGAGTTTAAAAGTGAAGCCAGAATTTAAAAAAATAAAAAATCTAAAAATTCTGAATGTGTTACATAGGGATATATGACTAATTTAAACTGGATGCAAGTTTTCAAAGAGTTTTTAACGGTTAAATTTTTAGGAGCAACTACTTCTTTTTAAAAAATTGCTGCTAGA